GGGATTGGGAATGGGGAGTGGGAGGGGAGCAGGGGAGGGATTGGGAATGGGGAGTGGGAGGTAGTGCGGAGCTGCTTGCTGCCGGGGCTCTCCTCTTCCCCGGGCCCGGGCTGCAGATGGCGTGGCCGGGTTGCTATTCGCTCCGGGCCGGGGCTCCCGGTTCCCGCAGCTGCCGGCGGCTCACGTTGTGATGCCAGAAAATGGAGAAGGCTCCGGGCAGCGCTGACCTCCGCTGGAGCTCGGTGTCTTTACCCCTGGATCTGATCATCGGCAAATTCCGCTTACCCACCCTGGCCCGGCTCAGCACAGGTAAGGGGGCAGGTATTGTTCATTACTCAGGGCTGGGAGGGGATGTCCCTGAGTGCGGCCCTTCGGCTGTCGGGCTAGAATCAGGTGCAGAATTTCCCCATTGACTCTGTGATAGAGAGGGACATGGGACTAAGCTCCAAGTTCCACCGTTTCTCAGGCTCATGTAATCGAGAAATAAAAATATTTAAAGTAGATTTCTTCCAAATTGCGCCGTGTTTCGCGGGTTATAACCACGGACCATGCTGCTGTAATAACGGGGAAACTTTCCGCTGGGGACTGGGAAATCAAAACAGCATTTGCATTGGCAACCTGTGCCAAGGCTTATAGTTTGTAGTGAGACAAATAGTTCATTGAATTCAAAAGTCGACTTCCGTGGTTAGCCCTGACTTTCTTTCAATGATTAAAATAACTTGGCACCGCACAGTGTCATGTTCAAAGATATAGCCGGAGATTTTACAACAGCAGGGTCTGGTCATTGTGCTGATAAACAAATACATTTATAATATTACTCCTTTAAAGAAGCACGGATTCCTGACATTATTATGAGAGACGGTAAAGCAAGAACAATTTTAATTTTATGTTTGAGTATTTAAGTATTGTTTTTATGCAGCATTGTTCATGATTTGATAGTTGTTTTATTTTTTAGCCTCACTGACAGTACTCTGTGGTTCTAGTTGTGAACGGCACTGCACTATAACCTGAGCTCTCAAAGCAGCTTTGGTGTTAGGTTGTCTGACCTTTGGGTGAGGCCTGAAATTCCTGAAATGGGGAGAAACCCCACAATTTGCTGATGAACTCTACTACTCCTCCCTCCTCCCCCTCCCAATCTCCCTTGACCCCTCTTCCCCACACAACTATTCTCTTACACTCACCTGGTTTATTGCTGCCTCCGACAGTGCTGCGTGTAAATAAGATGTTGGCTGAAGTTAAACAGTTTCACTGCTTGTTCATTCACCCATCTGCTCTGGAATACTCATTCACATATCCATAAAGTTGCTGCTGACCCATAATTTATATTTATCTCAAATTAAACTAAGAATGTCATTACAGTAGATATGGAACAACAGTAGTTTCCATATCCCACATCACTGAGCCTTCAACAACATTTGACATCAGCTACTCAATGTTGCAAGTACAGTGGTAATCACTTGTCGTATATCTCCCTTTCTCTGTTTTATCCCAAAAAAAATGTTCATGACGAAGGAAAATGTGTCGTGGTGATGTCAGTAATCCAGAGGCCCAGCCTAATGATCTCAGGCATAGGTTCAAATCCCACCACAATCAATAAATCTCAATTAAAAAAAAATTAATCTGTCATGAAGACTTTGAATCATTCTGAGGGTGAGAGAGGCTAATGTTTTTTCCCCTTGGGGTTCCCAAATGATAATACAATAATTGTGTAAAAGTGAACTGCGTAGCCAACTTACTTTTGTCAAAAATGTACTTTATTCATAAAATTTGTACCGGAAACAATATTTCAAATTTAAACTTACATTTTATACCTGTTTTGTTAAAGCATGCCATTGAATGTCAAAATTTTATCTCTTAAATGCCTGTGCTGAATAGCTAAAAGAACTATCTATTGTCCCATCCCACTGCCTCCTCTCTTTCTTTCTTTGTCAAATATTTTTCCATTGATTCTGTTTACACTTCCCACTGCCTTGGGAAAGCAGCCAACACAATCAAAGGCCTCTCCCACCCGGTTATACTTGCTTCCACCTTCTTCCATTGGGCAGAAGATTCAGAAGTTTGAAAACATGTGCCAACAGATTTAAGGACATCATCGTCCTTGCTGTTATCAAACTTATGAATGGACCTCTCATTTATTAGAGTGGAATCTTTCTCTGCACCTTCTCTGAAGCTGTAACACTATATTCTGCATTCTGCTCTATTACTCCTGATGTTCTCATGTAAGCTATGGTTTGCACGCAAAACGATACTTTTCACTGTGAAAACAATAACTTAAGTCAAAAGAAATTGCAAAAATATTCAACTGGTCCCCCTAGAGCCTGGTTATGATTATAATAGACTTGATCTTTTGAAAATGCAGTCCAAATCAAAGATACAACTGGAGGGGAAAAGCAATTCAAATTGGAAATCTCAGCAATTGCAAGAGGTGTACTTTTTTGGCTCCGATTCACAGATAAAGTTCAACATTCCATTGAATTTGATTTCTGCTTCTTGATGAATTCTTTAGTGGTTTTAAATTCTTCAAAGTCATTTTAATGAATTGCTACCTCATCAAAATTTTCAATGCTTTTACTGTTTACCATCTTTTAGCAATATAGAGATCTAATATAAATGTGGTATTAAACTGCTTATCTCAGTCTTTTGTGCTGAACCATTAATGGTTCTTCCAGTACTTTGAATAGACTAATTGCAAAAATGTTGCTGTATCCCTATGATTCACGTAAGTCTGTGAGAATCATGGTGTGATTTAAAAGGATTGTTCAATAAGCCTTGGAAAAAATGTGATTATAAATGATTCCCACTACAATAACTGAAACTCCACTTGTTGAAATTTTTCTCTGTCTAGTATTTCAGTAGTGTGTCTTACCGGCCCTGGTCCAGGAATCTGCTTTTTACTGTAGACTTAACAGAAATTACACACAGGCCTCTTATGCCAATATTGATGATTACATTTCAATTAGAGCACTCACTCTAATCCCATTTCCCTACATGTCCCTTCTTCTGATAGTCAATTCATATAAATTTTTCAGACTTGTTTTGATAAATGGGGATATATGTCATTGAATCTCAGAATTTTATCTCATAAGTGGAAGATAGCTGACCCATTTTGCTTGTGCTGGATAGCAAAAAGAATTATCCGTTGTCCCATTCCACTGCCCTCTCTCATATCTTTGTCAAACATTTTTCCAAAGATTTATTCATTTTACTTCCAAAAGAAATTATTTAACTTCCCCAGTTATTTCTGGTGAGGTGATTCATGTCACAACCTGCTGGTCTTTCATTCTTTTACATTATTGTCCTTAGTTCTTACTCACTATTTACTCTCATTTAGCTTCTCAAAGTTCTTTACAGTCTTGAACAATTCTATCTTGGCTACTCTTGACTTTCTGTGCTCTAATGAAAATTTCAAGTTTCTCTAGGTTCTGTTCCCAGTTGTTATCTTATAAATCTCTTTTAAACTCTGACCAAAGACTTGACATTTTTTTCTTATGTGATTGTCCTCAAGCAGGAGATGACACAATACATTTTGCAAAATTCTACAACTCTGGCAGGGTCTCACAGTTTATTATAAAGTTTCAGCTGCAAATTCAATTGAATTTTTCAGTGGCAGCTGTTGAAGTTGAAACTTTGATTTGATTTCTACTAAACCAAGATGTGAAATAACTCATTCATAGAATGTGTGCCATCAGTGGCAGGATGTGCGTGTCGACTGTGCATGTTGGGGCATTGTGGGTTTGCCTGTGATTTCCCAACAATTATGTGCAAGTAACATATATCCAGAAACCAATCCCATAGCTAAGATATATTGCATCCGTTTCTAAAGTTGGAATTAAGCTTTAATTTTCTTCTCTTCCATTGGATTTCCTATATATCCATTTATGAACTAAGTAGAATGAAAGTGGCTTGGACTTCTGCCAGTGTTAGTTATACATGGCAACAAGAAAGTGTGCAAGAACAAGATGATATGACCTTTTCTTCAGTTTCCTTCAGTTTTCTTTTCATCCTTCCCTTCGCTAAAGTATCTGATTCCCCTGTATGGTTCTCCATGACAATGTTTCTAATCAGAGTAACTCGGTCCAGGGGAAAGTTTCCTCTGTGTGCTATACTAAGTGAAATTGTAAATGGTTTTATAAAAAGTTGGACCAATTGATAATGGCACAGAGGAAATCTTCCCCTCTTAGTCCCTAATTATCATGATCATTAATCTGTCAATCTGTATTTCATTCATTTATTGTACTTCGAAATTAAACAGTTGATTTTTAAGCCCAAACACAATAACTCACTTGTTGATTTTGCATATTTTCATCCAAGTCGTTAAACCTATTATTACCAACAGTGCAGCAAATAGTTCCAATTAGCGTTAGGAGTAGTTATAGTCAGAATACGTTTTTGTAAATTTGGTGTTAAATTTTTAGAACCTTGACAGCTGGCTCGTTTATAAAACAAAGTCCTGTGAATGGTGGAAATCTGAAACAAAAACAGAAATTGCTGGAGAAAAAAATTTAAGTCCAGTGACCACTGTTTATATTCAGTTCATTTTGTGATTGTGTGGTTCATTCTGTAATTATATAGTTGTTGTAGTGGACACAGAATTCTAAACCACTTCCTCACAATTATTTTTGAAATTTACAACAGAAGACTGCTAGCAAGTCAGTGAGCATCCAGAGAGGTCTGCATCTTGGTGGAAAACTCTGAATTATAGCTAGAGTGAGGCCACAGCTCGAGTATTGTGTGCAGATCTGGTCACCACATAACTGGAGGGGGTGCAGAGGAGATTCACCAGGATGCTGGGAGGGGAAAATTCAACATGAGGAAAAGTTGGGCATGCTTGGGGTGTTTATGTTGGAGCAGAGAAGAGCGGGGTGATCTAATTGAGATGTACAAGATTATGAGGGGCATGGATGGAGTGGATAAGAAACAGCTGTTCCCCTTAGTTGAAGGGTCAGTCACAAGGCATACAGGTTCAAGCTGAGGGGCAGGAGGTTTAGGGAGGATGACATGAACAATGTTTTTACCCAGAGGATGGTGATGGTTTGGAATTGATTGATTTCATTGTCACATGTACTGAAGTACAGTGAAAAGCTTTGTTTACGAGTGGTACAGGCACATCACAGCAAGCAAAGGATATACAGCTCAAAGAGACTCAGAGGCAGGCAGGGTTACAATTATTTGAGGCTAGAGAGTCCATTCGACAGTCTGATAACGGCCGGGAAGAAACTGTACCTGAACCTGCTGGTGCAAATGTTCAGGCTTCTGTACCTTCTGCCTGATGGAAGAGGCTGTAGGAGATCATTACTGAGGTGCTTTGT